TTCCTCTTCTTGCTGAGCTAAGGGCAACTGGAGTAAGGTTGGAGTTGGAAGATCGAAGTGGAGCCTTTCTTGCTAGTTTTCAAGTTAGGCCAGTTTTGATTGATCGTATACTCGAAGCTCAGATGGTGGATGAGGAAATTCAGGAGCTGGTTCAATTAAGAAGTGAAGGGAAAAAGAAAGACCTCAGAATTCGGGAATCAGATGGTATGCTTATGCAGGAAAATAGAATGTATGTTCCGAATAATGAGGAATTAAAGAAGGAAATTTTGGATGAAGCGCATTGTTCAGCTTATGCGATGCACCCGGGAGGAACTAAAATGTATCATACCATTCGACCATTTTATTATTGGCCAGGTATGAAAAGGGAAATTGCAGATTATGTGAGTAGATGCATTATTTGCCAACAAGTTAAAGCAGAAAGGAAGAAGCCATTTGGGCGAATGCAGCCATTTCCCGTTCCCCAGTGGAAATGGGAAAATATAACCATGGATTTCGTGTATAAACTTCCTCGTACACGAAATGGATTCGATGGTATTTGGGTGATTGTGGATTGACTTACCAAGTCAGCGCATTTCATTCCAGTGAGGGAAAAGTATCCTCTGAATAAATTGGCTAAACTGTTCATTACGAAGATTGTGAAGTATCATGGAGTTCCGGTGAACATTATTTCTGATTGAGACCCAAGATTTACTTCTAAATTCTGGGTGGCTTTTCAGGAAGCTCTTGGTACGCAATTGCTTTATAGCACAGCTTATCATCCTCAAACTGATGGGCAATCAGAGAGGACTATTCAGACGTTGGAGGATATGTTGAGATCTTCAGTATTACAATTTGGTGATTCCTGGCATGATCGTTTGGACTTGATGGAGTTTGCTTACAATAACAGTTTTCACTCGAGCATTGGTATGTCACCATTTGAGGCACTTTATGGTAGGGCGTGTCGAACGCCATTATGTTGGTCTGAGGTTGGTGAAAGGGTGTTAGAAGGCCCAGAGATTGTAGATGAGACTACTCAAAATGTTCAGGTGATTAAGTCAAACCTGAAAGCAGCCCAGGATCGACAGAAGAGTTTAGCAAATCGACATACTACTGATCGAGTGTATGATGTAGGTAATTGGGTGTTTTTGAAATTATCACCTTGGAGAGGCGTGGTACGATTTGGAAAAAGAGGGAAGCTAAGTTCGAGATATATTGGACCTTATGTGATCACTGAAAAAGTTGGTGAAGTTGCCTACCAGTTGGAGCTGCCTCCGGAGTTATCTAAGGTCCATAATGTGTTCCACGTCTCTATGCTTCGACATTATATTTCTGATCCTTCTCATGTGATCCCCCCTCAACCGTTAGAGATTAATCCGGATTTGACTTATGATGAGGAACCAGTCACTATTTTGGATTGGAAAGATAAGGTTCTAAGGAACAAGACGGTGAGTTTGGTGAAGGTGTTGTGGATGAACCATTCTGTAGAGGAAGCTACCTGGGAGACAGAAGATCGAATGAGAGAGATGTACCCAAGGTTATTCTATGGATATTAAGTGGGTTATTTGGTTATGGGAATTTCAGGGACAAAATTCTATAAGGAGGGGAGATTGTCACAGCCCGTCCCGGAGGTACGTTTGACGGGAATGTGAAATGACTGAATTGCCTTTAACGGGCACTAAGGTACGTGTGTGTGAGACGTTTTTGGTTCAAATATTGGACAAGATTAAAAGAAATATATATATTATAAGATAAGTTGATTTTAATGTGATTTTGGTTATGTTGGTTAGGGATTAGAAAAATGGATGGTGGGGATTGTTTTGGACATCTCTCCCTCTCCATCCCGTGGTCTCTCTTTCTCCTCCCTCTCGACTAACTCTCTCTCTCTCCCCATCCCAACTATTTCTCTCACCCTCGATAGTACGGACTCACCCAAAACCTCCCAAAACTCAACGGATCGAGGCAACCAAGGTATGCATCTTCATCATTGAGTCATTTTAAGTTGAATGGTACTAGTTTTAGGAAGTGAAACCCTCGGAATCACGTGAAACCCGAACCTCCATTTTTGGTCACTGTTCATGCGAACGTAAAATGTTGATTTTCAGGGAATTCTAAGGTTGTAGTGAGCTTAGTGAGGTCCCAAGGAGGCTCGGAGTACTTCGTTTGAAGGATTTGGACGTCGGGATCACGTGGTTCAAGTTTGGCCGAATTTCTTAGAATTTTCCCGGTGAGATTTCTTGATTTTTAGAGCCTTAAACTAGTCTATCGTGATTCTTCATGTTTGGGGCTTCAATTTGATATAAAATACGAAGAAAATGGGTGAAAAACGAAGGAGAACGAAGAGTTTCAAAACTCGCCGGAAACCGGCCGCCGGAAAAACCAGTCCGACGAGCCAATGAGGAAGAAGATGCGCGTGGGGGGCGCGTGAACCCGTGCCACCCACGGCGCGTGGGGGAGCGTGGGACCTCCAAAATTTTTTCTAAAATTTATGCGACGTCCGTGACGTCGAGTAGGTCGATGTGGTATATTCATATACCCAATTTGAGCATCATATGAGAAGTTATTTCGAATTATTGGTGATGTGTTTAAAATTAACGTTTTTATAGTTGTTTCGCATATATGTGACACGTATCCCGAGGACGAGCGCATCCAGGGACGCCACGGGGGTTACGACCCCTCGACTTATCAGTGAGTGGGCAGTTTTGATTTCGTATTTACCTATATACAACTGTTTTTCCCAGAAAATCCGTTTATGTGAAAATTATGAATCTATTTGCCATGCATGAAACTGTTGAAATATTTAGTTTGATAATTAACATATATATATGTGAAATGACGCGGTGGACGCTCATGTGAGTTTATTTATTTTCAGCTGAGTTATTTATCATGGATTGCATTGAAAGCTCATGACCTGCACCTAGGTGATAGTGCTTATATTGTTATTCACCACACCGCACGCTCGTCTTGGATCCAAGTAGGTGGATGTCGTATAGACCATGTGAGGGTTCCGACATGCTAGTCGTACAGATCACTAGATGTGATTCCGACTAGTGGGTGACCTTAGTTATGCGCGCTGATGATTGATGAGAGAAGCATTAGAGCGTATTTATACACCTGTCATCGTACAGACTACTATATGTAGTTCCGAGTGACGTGCAGAGTTGAACAGTACAGGTCACCGAGGTGACTCCGGTTGGATTGGATGTTGAGCTTTAGAATCAGCCATACAGAACCATTGTAGGGTCTCCGGTTGATTTATCATTCACCTGATTGATATTGATGTATTCTGATTATATTTTGGGCATGGCATGTCATTATTGAGATATTATGTTGATGAAATTGAGTTGAGTTTGATGTTGCGTATATATATATATGTATATATACTATTTTCTGGGAAAGTATACATGTTTTTACGGTGAGGGGTTAGAATTGTTTTTAATGAACTGTTTTGGAAAACTATTTGATTTTACTGACCCACTCATTTTGTTTTGCGCCCCTCCAGGTTCTAGTTAGCAGTTGGTGGCTCTCGAGGTCTTTTTCCGGCATTCTGACAGACTCTTGACATGTAGGATTCACCTGAGGGTGATGTATTTTTATTTTAGTCCTACTTGACTGCACTTAAACCTATGCTCTGAATTTATGTGTTTATCTTAACTCGTCCTGTCATTCTAGTAGGTTGTTCTTCCAGAGTTGGTTTGAATTCCTTCTTATGTATGTTATTGTTTTGCTTCCGTGTCGCACTCTTGGTTACGTCACACTCACGTGACGGCCAGCACGCCTTGATCCTCTGGGTCGAGGTGTGTCATCTAGCCCCTGAGCCTCCCTCACCACACCATACTATCGTCTCTCTCTGACTCTCCACTCCAGCCTTCCTTCACTACACAGCCACCGGCCGACCGCCACACTATCGTTTTCTCTATCGATCTGTTATCTCCGGAGGCAAAATTCAAAGACCCAATCGCAGGCACGCAACAATTTCATCAAGGTTGGTGCTTTCTTGATTTTTGAGGCATTTTATTTTTTGGGTTTGGTCAAACCAGTTTGATGACATGAATATTTAGTCTACGATCATGTACATTTAAATGCAAATTAATCATTTTTCCTGGTTCCACTCCTTAACTAATGCCAAATATGAAAGCTCCACTATTTACTAACAAGTGAGAAGAATAATTGAATAAATGTGTTGTGGTGCACTTGATTTAGCCGCGGTTTGGGCAAGGAGAGTAGAAGAGAGTAGTTTTGTAATGTTTTAGGAAATTGGACACTTTGCTTTTGGTTTTTTAATTAGGTGAGTTTTTCAACCACTATTTGACACTTGGTTGATCATGCCTCATTATGTACTTTTGTTCTCCCAATCTTTTCATACTGCAGTGATGAAGAAACTTCTAGATTACTGATCATATTAGTCTACTATGTTGCTGTGTTGTTAAAGAGTGATTCTCTACTAATTATTTTCTTGAATTATTATTCTTCAGGTTGCTTTTCTTGAACCTGCTGATGCTCGAGCAACTTTTAAAGGTTTAGCATACAAGCGCTACAAATAAGTGTTGATAAATCTTGTATGTAGGTTCTAGCTTTCATGTTTGTATTATCTTTGTGGGGGTGGGGCTACTTATATTCTCCTCGTTTAGAAACGAGCTGTTTTTATTTGCTTCCTAGTTCAAATACATGATACTTCTATGTTGAATGCTCATATTTTTGAACCATTTATTTTATTTATTGATGGGAATTTGGATAATATGTCAAATTTTAGTCCAAAAGCCCAAAACCATTTCGGGATTCCCGATTTGTCCCGAAATCCCGAAATTATTTCGGGATTTCCGAAAATTGGGATTCCCAAAAATTTGGTTTGGGATCGGTATTGAAATTGGGATTCTCAAAAATTTCGGTTTGGGAATCGGGACAAGGATTTTGGTATGGGATCCCATACCGAACCACCCTTAAAAAATATTGATGTACTAAAAAAAAAAAAAAAAAAAAAGGTTACAATATATAGCCAGGTCCACATGCAACTCTCCCACATGTTTTGGGCTGGACCCAAATGATCCAAACTCCAAACCCCAAACCCGAAATAATATTTTCCTTCACATTTCTGCCCGGCGACGGCTTCATCTACGACCTCCAGTCTCCAGCTTCAGAAGATCGAGTTAAAGTTTCAGAGCAATAGAATCTACAAGATGGAGGGAACTGGAAGGAGATCGAGATTCTCACTCCTGCTTCTTCCTCTGCTGATATCTCTCTCAATTCCCTGCATATCTGCCGCTTACAAGCCAGGCGACATCGTTCCCATGAGCAAGATGGGCCTTTATCACTCTGTCCGTACTCTCTCTAAAAGCTTCATCCAATTTCGGCTCAATTTTAATGGGTTTTGTTCAAATTTTAATGGGTTTTGTGCAATTTCGTGGTTTCAGATGAAAACCGAATGGCATGATATGATCGGTCGACATTGCCCAATATTTGCTGTCTATCGTGAGGTAAATTTGTATTTTTCAATTTGGGTTTTCTTTTCAGGTTTTTGTGTGTTTTTTCATAGTCAGTAAATTTATTCATTTTTCTGGTTTATGAATTTGTAGGTGTTAGTTCCTATAGCGAAGCCGATGGGTTATACAGGAGCTGATGCTTATAAGATGTGAGTATAATTAAGGATGAAAGTTCCGCCTTTCGATTCACATTTCGTTTCTTTCGTTATATTATCAGTATTAGATTGCTAAGATTCAGCTAACTATCTATGTAAGTAAGGGTGAAACATTTCGTAGTCGAGATAGTTTGTGTAATTTAATTCGAAGTTTGAAGTTTGGTAGCTGAACTTACTTTTGTCTCTACTTTGTAATTGAATTTGCAAAACCTGGAATCATAATGTTAGAATTACCAATAAATTAACAGTTTCATTGAGTTTTCTGTGACACCCGATTAAAAAAACGGAGCTGTAGATTGTATATTTTTTTCTGAATTAGGTTCTCTGGGTAATGGTTGGATGTTCTCAGTTATATACTCTGGAAATTTATGGTTATGAACATGTCTGGTCAAATTCATATTTACAGAAAGTTTTCTTGTGCAGATCATTTCAAGTTGGGAGAGAAAAGTTTTTAATACCGTGGCTTTTTGTGATAAATCGTAAAAGTTCAGAGGTCCCAATGATTGATGTCCATTTGGTAAGTTGTGAGTTATGAGCATGAGAACATATTTACGATGCCATCATCTTTTGAGAAAATGGAAAGTAGTGGCCTACTGGGATAATAGCTTCATTTAGATATATGCAAACAATTGGTTCTGTAAGTTTATCTATCTGTTAGAAAACTGACTTGCATGCAATACAGAGGTACTCGGGAAGTGATTTGCATGGTGTCACTGCTAAAGTTGTGGATATGCCTCACCACTGTACGTAATGCCATTTTTCCTCTTCCTTAATCTAGTTCAAATCCTTTTTCATAGTCAGTTAAGTTGGCCCTTTGGAAGGGTCTGTCTTGTAATGCAGGCACTTTATCCGTTTATCATATTTTTGGTTAGTTTAGTTTCTTCATCATTTAGGTCAGTCTAAACAAAAGGAGGGAATAGGCCTCTCTGATGTCATGTCATTGATATATTTCGAGCTTTAATATCATTTTTGGAAAACAAAAAGCACCTATAGTTTGAGTTAATTTTGCTATTGTTCGAGGAGTTCTTATAACTGTTGTGGTGTGGATTCTTCTGTCTGAGCAGACTTAGAAATCCATCCAGATATTCGCAAACAATTTTGGGATGCTCAGCACTGGCCAAAGCATGTGCTGGTCAGATATACATGGTCAGCATCACTTCACTTATCTTTTAGTTATGATTTGTGTAAGTCTTGGGCTTTTGGATTTGCACTTTGTGAAATGTGACATAATCTTGTTGTATGCACGCAGGGAGGAGCAATCAGAGATAGACGTGACTTCTGGATTTTATGTACTGTTTGGATCAGGTAAAAATCAATGCTTGAGTATGATCATTGTGTATTCATTATCCTTCCCGCAAGCCTTATCTTCAAGGTTTCAAACCAACTGTTTAAAGAACATACCATTACTTTGACGCTTATGTGAGAGAACACCTAAATGTCATCAATGTGTATATTTGTTGAGAGAACACCTAAATGTAGAGCTTTTCTGACACTGTTGCTACTAAACATTTTCATGCATTCAACAGGTCTCATGCTTTCTTTTATTCTGTCGATATACATTTTGCAATCATCACGGGACAAGTTAGCAAGGTACGTTTCTGAAATATTGGGCTACTTTGTTGCCCTGAAAATAGAGTTTAGGAACAAGCTATCAAAGTTTCAATCAGTGTTGCATGGTTATTCAAGCTTTGCTCTACCGGTTTTTCTGGTAATGTGAAATTTTGCTTTTCTTTCCAGGTTTGTGAGGGAGAGAGTTGCAGAAAGCAACATGCCTGCTGGAGGTGTGGCAAAGGTTGAATGATACAACACCATTGAAAGCGTCAATATAGTCTGCATGTGCAACTCAGTCCGAAAGAGAAAATGAAACTAGTTGGGGTAGGTATGATTCAGTGAACGCGTATTTTGTTGTCTGATTTCACTCAAGAAGATCGATCTCCAATCTCTCTAGAAGAAGAAAGCTGAATGAAATTAAAACGCCCGAAAGCCTGGTCAGAGTTTTAACTAATCAGACTGAAATCTTCTTTTTATGTACGCAATTGACCTCTCCATAAATGGGGGTAAGGCTAGCCGACATTCACCTCTCCCAGACCCTGCGTAGAGCGGGAGCCTTGTGCACTGGGTACGACCTTTTTTTAATTGATATGTATGGTCACAAACGGTTTAAACTCTCACAGTTGTACCTCAAGGATACTTAACCATGCTAAGAACATGTTTGTTGCATAGATTAACTTGTTTCTTTTGAGATGTCATGCATTCTGGACATGGATTTCCAGATACACAGATACAAATATGAAATATACAACCATTAATTTGATCAGAAGGCGACTGGAGTAGATGCCATCGTGAGCGTTGATCTAATCATGATGTGGAGATTAATCCTATGATTATTAAGTATTTCCGATCAAACACAGATTATAGTAGTTTTAGTTGGATTTTAATTTTCCATACAATGAAGAATGGTTCGTAAGCAAGGGTTTAAAAGATTTTAAAAGAGTTTATCCATGGGTATTAAATCACGATTTTAAATGAATTCGTAGAAGTTCATGAGTATTCAATCAAATTTTAAAGGAGTTCATAAAACTTACAAAAATATGGGCGTATTCAATTAGAATGTTAGAGTAGTCCGTAAAATCTCATGTTTGTTGCAATCCTATTAGATTAGGAATATGATTGTGTAAATCTTAGTGTATCTAGGGATATCTTGGAATATTCTATAGGGTTAGATATTATCCTATTAGAGTTGTTATCCTATTAGGGTAAGGATTTAAAATTCCCTACTATTATAAATAAAGTCACAATGGGGTGGAATAGAACACATCTCACAATTATACATCTCTTTCTTTCTCTCTACTATGCCGCACCCCTCTCTCTGTCCTTTATATGATTAAGTAAATTAGGCGTATAATACGTTATTAGCATGCTTTTGACATTGCGCTAAATAGAGTTTGATCTTCAATCAGGGGAGTATTACGTTTTAATCATTCTTTTTATGATTAATTTATTATTTTATTGAATTGATCTACATGCTGTTGATTCAATTTAATTTTTCTTTGTTGAACGTGGTACAATGCATTGGAGATGCACTTTTGGCTTTCAGAGAAGGATCTTCTACAAATTCAAAGGCTTTTGTTGTTTTCTACCAGTCAGGTATGCTTAAAATAAAGTAAGATATTTTAAACAACCATGAAGTAAGAAAACATTCCCCATGATGCATGAACCCCTAGATTTATATTTACCTTCCAATATATATATATATATATATATATATATGTATATATGTATGTATGTATGTATACATTTCATGCATTACGTAATTATATTGATATGTGGAATTTGTGAGTCAAAGCATATAAATAAATTAGAAGCAATTTAGGGTTTTTCAAACCCTACACATGTCGGAAAAAAAAATCTGGGTTTATGCGGCACGGCAGCCGCACCACTGTGACACCACCATCGAACCATCGCATGGAGCAAGTCATGGAACGATGTTGTTTTGACACCTTGGACCACACGGTAGTAGCCCTTTGGGCTTAGTTGCTCACACACAGAGGCGTAAGGCCTTCAACCTGGTAGGCTTACACGGGCCTGAAGTCCCCCAGCCCAAACCGAGAGGTCTGCAGCCTTCTTGGCCCTGTCCCGCGTGTCCTTGGCCCATCTTCAGTAATCTAGAGCTGTTAGGCTTCCCTTGACCCATGATAGGCCTGCCTGCAGCAGCCTATTGCTTACTAGGCTTCGCCCCAACCTTCGGCCCACTCGCCAGAAGCTTTTGCTGCTGGGCTTGACTCGCTCCGACCCAAAAACCTGAAACCCTACTTCGGTTGGGCTTCCATGCACCAACCCATAGGCCAGCACAAGCTGGGCCTACACCCATGCATGGTTTTTTAGGCCCAAAGCCAGCATCTTTTGATGTTGGGCTCTCCAAACCACAAGACCCAGAGACCTGCAGCCCTCACCATAGCTCAATAAGGCTGCAGCCATCAGGGCTTATTCCTGCATCTTTTTTTCGACCCGATGTCATATTTTGACATCCCCTGCTTATTAACCATACCTAAATTTTTTTTTGAGACGTTTATTGGTTAATTCTAATGAAGCTCTAATTCACTTGTCACATGGCCCATTGCCAATTGAAGCTAATAAGACTAGCATGTCATTATTTTGCTTCCACGATCAATCCCGATCTATTGAATTAATTAAAAATGATCAGCAGTCTATTAATCTAACAAGAAATCCAAAATTATTGGCATGAAACTCACTTTTGGACATTAACGATTCAATTAATTTATTTTTCTTCTTTGAATCGTTGACATCCTTTCGTAGTTCCGAAACACTCACACTTAAGTTCCTGAAGCAACCTAAATCCACTACACTTAGTTGTATATTGTATCCTATGTTCTTACAGGTACCTTCTTTTATGAACTAGAAGTTCCTAACTAAACTCGAACCTATAGTTTCAAATTTAGTGCATTTGAACCCGAAGCTTTTCATAAAACAATACACCCATGAAAACCCGGCGTTTTTCATGTAAACCATGTCTTAGAACCCACTTTATGTGGATTGTCGAACCTTCACAAGTTCAATTTCACTTATTTGGACGTTTCTTGACCGAAACCACTTTATGTGGGTACAAGGCGTGAATCTCCACTTGACTATCAAGAAGCTGAAAACCATTGTAGCCAACAATGGCATGGAAGAGCTGGATAAGCCTCTGCCATGCTCTTCATTCGAAGACTTATGCCTAAAGCATTACCCACGGAAGTACCTAGCAAACAAGGATTCCATGGCTCTTTGGCTCACTTCTACGACCTGTTTAATCATGAATGATATTGCCTGAAGCACACCATCATTACGTCAATAAATGGGTATAATTCTGAAGTTTATGAATCCGATCGAACTTTGACTGGAGAATACTTTTCTTGTCTTTCCTTGTTTCTAACTTGCTCTTGAAGCAAAAAGTGTAGAAAGTGGAAGTTTACCAAATTCTTGGATCTGATTACTACCACAAACGTGAGAAAAAGGTATAGACCTAGTTTCGGCAGAAGTATACCGAATGGTATAAATCCAGTTTGGCTGGAGTCTACCGAATGGCTTAACCTAGTTTGGTTAAAGCTTACCGAATGGTGGTGCCCTGCTTCGGCAGGGATGCACTGAACGGTATTGCTCTACTTTGGCAGAGGCCTACCGAACAGATTCCTTTAGTTTCAACTGGAGCCTACCAAACCCAATTCTGGGTCTGTCTCTCTCACAATCCAATTTTCGAGTTTGTTTTTACAACCTATGGTAGAATCAAAGCCTATCAAGGTGTGGCATCATGCTCGAAGCATGATCCTTGATATCTAAGACCTAAAACTTCAAGAATAAGGGATAATATTCCCAAACCTTAACCTTGCATAATCTACTTTCGTCTTGATGGAATAGATCGTTAGTTATGCACCTGTTCGTGCCCTTACCAATGTCATTAAGGAGTACCATTCTCATAGTCAATATGTGAGACTAATTTCGCTACATTGAACACCGTTGGAAGAGCAGAATTTTGACATGGATGACCTTGTTGGTCGAATCCCCTTAGTAAACCATTTACTTTGTGAACATTTTTTTATGTTCTTAGATTCACATTTGGTGTTTGTTTTAGTTATGGATAATCTTATTGATATTGTCCTCGAATACGAGTTAATTGAATCATGTTTCTTGTATATATGCGACTGAATTCAATTAAACAAGTACATGTACGAATGTGGGGAAGTTAGTTGTCTAGATGAATGCGATACTACGCACACTAACTTTACACCTAAATCACATCTCTAGCAACGACTTCAGGTCTATCCAACCTAATTAAAAGCATTGGCACGCTCTTCGTTGTATGAATGGTACTACATTCCCATTGAAGAGACCTTATATTCTCTCCGTTCCGGAAGAACATCGTTGAGTTTTAAGGATATTTGAGATGACAATAATCATGAATGAAATCACTGAAGAAAATAGAGTGAAATATTTTTGCATCACCTCAAAAAATGAGCCTGAAGCTTTGTTTTGGGGCCAATAGGTTGTCTCCCAACTGGGAACACACCACATGTGGCTGGCCTAGAGCCTGATGATTAAGTAGTTTACTTGCTTTGGTACAACCATTTGAGACATTTAGGTCGAACAATGATGCCACGACGCATCTCTTTACTCGAAGTAAGGATCTTGTGCCTACAAGCACACTTTGCCAAACTTGCTCATTGGGGAAATTGATTTTCTAAATCATCTATCGCAAAGATACGAAATGACCATTTTTCACAGTGGATTCAAGGGAATATATGTGGACTAATCCAACCAAAATGCAGACCATATAAATACTTCTGGTTTTGGTTGATGAATCGATAAACTGGTCACATGTTTGTCCACACATTGCTGCTAAATGTCATGGCTAATTTTAAGGGTTCACCACCCTACTTATCCCATAAAGTCTGGAAGACTGGATAATGCCGGAGAGTTTATATCGACGGTTTTCGATAAAGTATTTCATGCCTTTTGGGTGTATAATTGAACATCGAATTCCCATGTTCACCCCAAATAGCCTTACATAGTGATCATAAAGCGCAATTTAAATGATCGCCCAGACCTTGGTGATGTACCAAGCTTTTTTGGTTTATGCCTAGGGCTATGCAATCTTGTACGCAACTATGTTGGTCTGCCTTGAGGCCCATTGCCACCCAACCTATTCGATGTTATAGTTGGTTACTGGGTACGAACCTTACGCTTCGTATTTACGTATTTAGGTGTGCATTCCATGTGCCAAGTTACGCTGCCGTAACGTACCAATATGAGTCCTCAAAGAAGGATGTGAATCATTGTCGATTATGATTCTCCTTCACATTAGCTCTCTTGGAGCCCTTGCACGTGATCTCTTTACTGCTCAATTGTGGATTGTCACTTCAATGAGATAGTCTTCCCGCCGTTAGAGGGAGATAAAAATGTCAACGTTCCTGTAGAACGACGCAAACTTTTGTGGACGTTGCCCATTATATCTCATCTCGATCCCCGTATCGCACAAGTGTGATATGCAAGTGTGATGTATTCTAACTTTCAGAATGTTGCTCCAGATGCATTCCTCTGATCTAGCTAAAATGACGAGATCATATATCAGCTGCAAACATGCTTTCAAGGTAATAAACGTCGAGTCAACATCCTCGAAGGGTGTGCTGCCCGTATTGGACAGTTTGGCCGTCCTTATTAAACGACTCGGTACACCGGCAGATAACAAATTAATTTATCTTGGCCTAGAGCACGACATATCACTCGGTTCATAGGATTCACTTCCCTGGAATAGAAAGA